CATTAACGCAACGCTCTAATTAGTTATTCTGCTAATTAGATTTTGACGGTTAATTAGGACGGAAGGTACAATGGGTTCGGAGTTCGATCGAAACGAATAGATTCGTGCGTGGAGGAATGAGGCAGGAAAGGAGGTCGCGGGTGGTTCTAAAGATGGTAGCTTGAAATCTCCGCGCTAGTTTTGTTAAATTAAAGGCTATGGCTTTGTAAAATTAAAGGCTAGTTTTGTTAAATTAAAGGGTACTCTTGTTATATTAACACGGGAAATGGCAACGTTTCTCCAAAGTACCAAATGTAGATAATTAACTCTTTTGTTGGGTAAAACCTAAGAAGACCTGTCACGTTTATATTAGCGGGACTAAAGACCACTTTGACCGAGGTCCTAACTTTTCCTTTTCAGGAAAACGAAAGAAGTTCCTCGAACAAAACTCATCGAATCCAACAATGACGAACTTCGGTAACTAACTTAGAATCCCTAGACAACGTATTCCATCATCTAGTAACGGTCCACGCGTCCAAGATGTAATATATGCTAAACGTTTCGCGTCGTGGAAGCATCGCCATTCATCCGACGCCCTTCTCCGTTCGTCTGGGACGCGAATCACGCAGCCTTTTCGGCCGTGGGACCACGATTCTCTGTCTCTTTCGGTCCCACCTTTCCCCACCTTCTCTGCCACCTTTATGCTCCTCTCTATCCTACTCCTTGCCCGCTCACGCTGCCTTTCATTCGTCCTTCTCTCGGCGTCCTCTCCGCTCGGTACCCACGGATCCTCGAGTATGTACGATATGCTGCTTTGTGGACCGGTACGCGAGCGCCAACACAGGAAGGATAAGGGAAAGAAAGGAATTTTTTAATCATTCTTTTTCAGAACGATTCATCTTTGTTCGTTGGGCTCGTGTTACCGCTTCTAGAGAAATCGATAAGAATTCAAGCACTTTGTGGACCTGTGGACTCATCAGGTTAAGGGGCTTGCAAAAGAAGTCTTGAGGAAAAGCTAGGTCATAGATGGAACTAGACTTGAGGAACCTTAAGTCACCAGGACTTAATGTGTTAATACATCTCAGGTCACTAAGTATCTGATCTTGCAAAAGAATGAAGTCTTGAGGAAAAGCTAGGTCCTAGATGGAACTAGACATGAAGAACCTTAAGTCACCAGAACCTAATGTGTTAGTACATCTCAGGTCACTAAGTATCTGATCTTGCAAAAGAATGAAGTCTTGAGGAAAAGCTAGGTCCTAGATGGAACTAGACATGAAGAACCTTAAGTCACCAGAACCTAATGTGTTAGTACATCTCAGGTCACTAAGTATCTGATCTTGCAAAAGAATGAAGTCTTGAGGAAAAGCTAGGTCCTAGATGGAACTAGACATGAAGAACCTTAAGTCACCAGAACCTAATGTGTTAGTACATCTCAGGTCACTAAGTATCTGATCTTGCAAAAGAATGAAGTCTTGAGGAAAAGCTAGGTCCTAGATGGAACTAGACATGAAGAACCTTAAGTCACCAGAACCTAATGTGTTAGTACATCTCAGGTCACTAAGTATCTGATCTTGCAAAAGAATGAAGTCTTGAGGAAAAGCTAGGTCCTAGATGGAACTAGACATGAAGAACCTTAAGTCACCAGAACCTAATGTGTTAGTACATCTCAGGTCACTAAGTATCTGATCTTGCAAAAGAATGAAGACTTAAGGAAAAACTAGGTCCTAGATGGAACTAGACTTGAGGAACCTTAAGTCACCAGGAGCTAGTATGTCTTAGGATAGCTCAGGTCACTAAGTATCTGATCTTTCAAAAGCCTGAAGTCTTAAGAAAAAGCTAGGAATCCTACATGGACCTAAACATAAGGAACCTTAAGTCACCAGGACCTAATATGTCTTAGGATAGCTCAGGTCACTAAGTATCTTGATCTTTGTAATAGCCTGAAGTCTTAAGAAAAAGCTAGAAATCCTACATGGACCTAGACATAAGGAACCTTAGGTCACCAGGACCTAATATGTCTTAGTACATCTCAAACCACCAAGTATCTGATCTTGCAAAAGCCTAAAGTCTTAAGGAAAAACTAGGAATCCTACAAGGACCTAAACATAAGGAACCTTAAGTCACCAGGACCTAATATCTCAGATCATCAAGTATCTGATCTTGCAAAAGCCTAAAGTCTGAAGGAAAAGCCAAATCCTAGATGGACCTCGACATAACCTCAGGTCCCCAGAACCTAATATCTTAGGTGACCGTATTTGAAGGAGATTCCGCGTATCGAGATTGGAGAAAGACCAAATGACGGAATTCCTTAGGCAACAGTAGCCGCACTGTCGCGAGTCGTGCTGTTTTAATAAGTCGAGCAGCTCGGTGAAGCAATTAAAGTCGGAAAAGACGGAGAGGAGATCTTGATACGACGAAGGTTACGATTACGTATCAAGTTCTTTGAGTCAGCTTAATTAACGGCAGGCATCCCTTTGGACCGGCTTGCGCAATCCATCACGCAATTTCGGGAAAATGTCGGGTAACGAATAAACGTGATAACGTTTTTATTACCGCGACGTTGAATAATGGAAACGGAAGCTCATTCTCACGCACCGGCGCAACGAAAATAAATCCGGCACTCCAAATAGCGATTACACACCGTTACGACCGTCGCCTAATTCCTTTTCCCTCCCATGTCGCTAACATAGACAGACTACCGTGGCCTCAAAGGTTCCACGCGCAGGATTCCAGCCTCTTTTCCGAGAACGCGACTTTTTTTATTTCGCCGTCGAGAGCTCTGCCCCTCGAGCCGGTATGCAGACCTTTTGCCGGACCGATATAGACTCGTAATATCGATACGGAGAAAAGAAACCGGGTTCGAAAATTACGCGTGGAAATCGGCGAAAAGCGAGGGAAAAGAACGAGGTTTCATTGGGAACAGCTGAGGCGCGAGGGGGCGCCATATGGGTTAGTAAATTTAACTCTGCTCGCGAGAGCTTCTCGAAGACGAGAGAGAAAGAACGACGGAGATTACGAGGGAAGTGTAGAAGCACAAAAGGCCTAGCCATCTGCCAGTGGCCCTGCAGTGCGTCTCATAGACAGAAGTACGCGAACAGCGTCGAGAGAGAACTGACGTATACCAGGGATGCTGGACAAACATTGGCGTAGTGTTCCTTCTTATAATTATACTCGTTCTAACTTAATAAAACCTGCAATAAAATCCCATAATTTTAGCCCCTACGTCGTCAAATTTACGAGAAGATAATTTATTACGCCGCCATTTTTGTTTGGAAAAATGCGCGCCAACTTACGATGCTTCCGAAATGCGTAGTTACTTCTTATAATTCTGTTATACTCGTTCTTACTTAATAAAACCTGCAATAAAATCCAATAATTGTAGCCCCGATACGTCAGAGAAAATTTACGGAAAGATAATTTATTACGCCGCCATTTTTGTTTGGAAAGATGCGCGCGCATATGGCGCTAACTTACGATGCTTCCGAAATGCGTAATAAAAGAGAGAAGAATGGATTTAGCATTCCCGCCAATGCCACGAATTACAGGAGCAACAGCGAACTCGCAACAGCAGGAGGGAGACAAGTGCCATCGTTTATCTTCGTTTCTCTCCGGCTCCTCGGACCATCTGCCATCGGATAGGCGGGTCCTCGTTGCACTCGTGCATGCACGCGCCCAGCGTGCCACCGAACATGCTTGTTTTTAATGCGATCCTTTCTTCTCGATCGTGACACCGCGAGAAAGTACACTTCACTTTTAACAATTTCCATTTACCTAATCGAACAATTTACTTTTCAATTTTCTCCTATCGGACGGAAGCCACTTTACGATGCGATAAAGGTTAACAGTTTGAAACGTTACCTGAAAATCGAGTTTAACCTAACGCCTACCGGCTAATTCACCCAGGAACATGTTAAGATACGAGCGGAAGATCGCAGATACACGGCACGATTTTTTACTGTCCGGTGAACTCGCGCATGCGCGGTGCCTCACCCTAGCGGCGGGTTCAGTCAACGAGATCTTAATTTTCCGCAATGAACGCGTGCTCATTATTCGAGACAAGGATCGTCTCAGGTTCATTCAGAAGATCGTCGTACGACAAGGAAGCAACCGAGGGTTAACTGTATACGGGTAAACGGCAGCACGCGCTGATTTTCGACGTTGGAACGGGACGTAATTGTCCGTCCTCGTAGAAAAAAAAATATGACTTACGATCGTCGGTCGAGATTGCTCGGAAATGAAGTGGTTGTAACGAGCGCGGGAACGATTTATCTCATCGACGTTTCGCGAACGACACGCCGATCGCATTCATAATGAATCGATTCTTTTTTTGCACTTCTTTACGCGTCTTTTAATTCCGCTTACGAGAGACAATTTCTCGCATCCCACACGCGACGCACGCGATATGCTAATGGCCGACGTTGCAAAAAGGTGCGCGCGCACCTTCGACGCTAAACAACCGCGATTTTTCCGATTATCTGCGCGATCGCACTGCGCATGTGACACGGTATTATTTTTTCCTCGCGCCATAAATCGTCCTTTGCTTAATGCACTGTTAAACTTGATTAATGTGTTTTGCTACGAGACTAACCTCTAATCGCTCATTAACATAAAAAAGAATATCTACGTCACGGAAGTGAATTGAAACGTCAATTTTCACGCTCTCCCGCTTCGAGAGTATGTAACAATTTATAAGAGAACATGACACTTACCGGCCAGGTGAACTCGAACGGAAATTTGATGGGGTTGGTGAAGCTGGGCATGGCGACGTTCGGGCTGAGGTTAACGACGTTCTCCCCCAGCACGGGTGTGACGACGTCGCCGTACGTGCACGGCGTCGTCGTGTCGATCTTCACTTGATACTGTTTCAGGCATACCCTGAACTTGGTCTTGCAAACGCCCGAGCACTCGCCCGTCTTGGAAGTGCTGCCTGAACAACACTTGCCCAGACTGTCTTTACCGTACTCGTTCACGAATGACTTTAGCCTTAACTCGAACACCCCGGACGCGTTTACCTGAAAAGAATCGTAATCGATTAATCGAAGTATCTTACGGATTTTTTTAGGTTATGTGTACGAAATATGGACCTCGATCAGACAGCTGCTATTTTGATATTTGTTTTGGAATCTATTATATTTTTACGTTGAAATGAAGATAGTGGAGGACAAAATAAGCTTTGTTAAGGAAAATAGACGCAGAGAAAACAGGTATTACCATTTACAGTATGAATGTTGGTTTCTGGTTGATAAACTTCGAAATTCGGAAATTTCAGTATCTGCTTGGTTTCTTGAACCGTGAGTGCAAAGGACACGAAGATCGACGTATTCTGGCAAAGACGAAAACACAATCGCGGCAAACCTCCACGTCGGGGGTCGTCTCGTGCCCAACGACCGAACACGCCGCCCGGGCAGCACGTGTGTAACCGCGTTTTTGCGCATGCGCGTCTTGTAACTGCACATCTCCCAGGAGGAGCAGAGATATCCGCGCGAATGACCCGACAAAAACTGCTTTTTTCGACTCGCCAAGAGAAAGAGAGGTTAGAGGTGCAGATGGACATTTCGCCACGCGTGCTGCCGAGCGATCATGGAACACGAGGGGCGTTTTCGAGAGGAAAAAAGAAAACCAGTCGTAAATGTATTAAACGTTCGCTTCCTCTCGACAAGGAATTAATCTTCTTGAGTGCTTCTGTATTCTCAATAGAAATTTCGAGATACTGAACCCACAAATATTTTTCAGGAGTGCATACAATGTTTTCGAAGCAGAGGATTCGCGTCTCGCGGTCAGAGGAATCGCGAAAGGGACCGTTTTTCTTCGACGACAATATCCAGTGTAAACAGAGCCGATATGTCAATATTTCTCCGTTCCTAACCCTCGTCGTTCGGACCCGTAAGAGTTCTTGACCACTGTGGACAATGGCCTACGGATATGTGCACAGACACACGGACACACGGCTGTCGTTGCGAGTGTACACACACGGCGAGCAGACAAGCGAACCTTCCCACGAGACATTGTATAGCCAAGCAAAACTATACATATATCGTGTCTCGCGTGAACGAGAGGAGCGCACTAACCTTACTATCGAGCCAGCGGATCGTTTTACGATCTCACTGGGCCCTCGTACATCCATTACACCCCCGTTTCGATCGTCGAATTTCCTACTACAAAGGACACTGACCTTCTTTTTTGACACGGTAAGAAAAGAGCCTGGTAAAAAAATTACATTCTGTACATTAACCACGAAAACGTGAGAGCAGGCTCTGGTGACAACCCGTTGGACGAGAAAAATGTACGGAGAATATTCTCACAATGTCTTCCCTCGGTTAAATGACAAGTGGCAAGCTTCCTTGGAATCCTAGGTTCTGGGATTACTTTTCTACGTAAGATAACCTCTCTTTACTCTTATCTGAAGGCTGCATTCGTACACAGTCGAGCAACACGGTCCTCGATGAGGAATTCTCATTTTTGGCGCGCTGGAGCGCTATTCTCGGAACGAGAATGGCCGCCGTCGACTATTTACGGATACAACCGGCGTTATTTCGTCACAAAACAATTTTACAAAGCCACCCTTCGGACTTTTATCATCGCATGTGTTTTATTTTTCAGGTGACTATCAGAGACTTATTTACAATAAACAAGCGTGAGTTCCTTTCGATGTATCTACTCGACGCATTCTTTATCGTTATTGTAATCGATGTGTACATCTCTACAAGGTCTGTTCTTTTCAATGACGTTAATTAAGAAATCTGTTTGAGTATATACTAATTGTACGTGTAATATTATTCAGTGTCAAGCAACTGTGAATGAACCTAAGGGTGTCCGTTGAAGGTCGAAAAGAAGTTACGAAGGGAGGTTATGTCGGTGTAACGAACGAGTCGAACGAAAGCAGACGGAGCTAGACACTTCTAAAAGAGTGGATCCAGATTTAGAGTTGTGTTGTGCGCGGCGAATACTGTTGCCACTGCTTTTCTCCTCTTTCGTCGGATGGTTCGAGTCTGGCCGATGAGACGCGAGAAGGACGGAAACGAAACAAGGATTCGACGAGTAACAGTAGGAGGGAGAAGGAAAGGGGAAAAAAACATCTCTCCCAGGAAGAATACTCTCGGGACCCGTGGTCTAAGCGCGTGAAAAAAACGAAGCTCGTGCACGCAACCACGAAACGTTACGTAGAAGGCCCTAGGGAAAATGGCGGACAAACTTGCGAATTTCCTAAAATCGATCGAAGATAAAACGATTTGAAACCACGAGTTAAAACTGGTAAGCATTCTAGCGTGCATGATCGAAGCTAACACTTACGGATATAGCGTTCAACTGGATAAATATAACGATCGCACTTACGCAAGTACTTAATTAGACGCGCGTGGAAGAGAGAGACGGAGAGGAGATAAATATATAGAAGTTCTCTATTCTGAACGCAACCCATCGATGGCGTGTCATCGTTTTTACCATAAATACCAACAGAGCTTACGGGGCCTACCGACCGGTTTGACAGACGGGAACACGTCGGTTTCTCAACCAAAACATCCCGCCATTCATCGAACCGACGAAGGTCGATTACGACGTGTGTCTCCGAGTTTGACAACACCGAGTCTATGGAACCCGTTGACAAAATTACTCTTTCATCCGATCTCGAATACTACGTGTTTCTATCTGGAAAATTAATTTCAATCAGGTGATCGATACCTCGAGAACGGTGGTTGAACCATAACCATAATCAAGATAGTCCTAACATCTCGAACCATATCGATAACTGGTCATGTGAAGCGTTGACAGAAATGTTGAGAAAATAAAAGAAGTTGCAAATGTGCACCGACAGTAACTGTTCTCGATTGTTTTTAAGAAAAGATGGCGTCGATGGCCGTTAAGTATCGGTTCCCATGAAATCGATCGATATCGAGCGCGAGAGTCGATCTCGAGTATCGATGGAAGAAAGGAGAAAAAACTGTGGAACGACTCTCGTAAATCAATACCGGATTATTTTTCTTCGGCTCGAAATTCCAAGAGAATCTATCTCGAATTCGTACGCAACCGGACGATTGCAGACTGAACAAGGGAAGAAACAATGCCGCGTGAGATCTTTCAGACGGGTCGTAAATGATTTCTGACGTTTAAAAAGACGTTTTGCAACGGCTGTGCACGAGGCCAGTACTAAAAATAAACAGCAATAGTTCCACGAAACGAGCGTCTTTCGAAAAGATTTTTCGCGATCAGATTGTGTAACCGAATCTTCGATTCTCAACTCCTCGTTATTTTCGCAGCTCGAACGAATTTTTCTGACTGGTAATACGACACGTGACGATCTCGGCGATATAAGAATGTGTATTGTTGAGCGGAGGATAAAAAAAAAACTATCGGACTTACCGCTCGGGGTGCTGGTAGAAGCACGACGGCGACCGTCCACACGAGCATCGTGGTCCACATGTTTGGTGGTTGTTCGATTCGATGTTTACACGCCGCCGGTAGCGTCGTTCGGCGGAGGTGTGTGGACCGTTGGCCGATGAGACGCGAGAAGGACGGAAACGAAACAAGGATTCGACGAGTAACAGTAGGAGGGAGAAGGAAAGGGGAAAAAAACATCTCTCCCAGGAAGAATACTCTCGGGACCCGTGGTCTAAGCGCGTGAAAAAAACGAAGCTCGTGCACGCAACCACGAAACGTTACGTAGAAGGCCCTAGGGAAAATGGCGGACAAACTTGCGAATTTCCTAAAATCGATCGAAGATAAAACGATTTGAAACCACGAGTTAAAACTGGTAAGCATTCTAGCGTGCATGATCGAAGCTAACACTTACGGATATAGCGTTCAACTGGATAAATATAACGATCGCACTTACGCAAGTACTTAATTAGACGCGCGTGGAAGAGAGAGACGGAGAGGAGATAAATATATAGAAGTTCTCTATTCTGAACGCAACCCATCGATGGCGTGTCATCGTTTTTACCATAAATACCAACAGAGCTTACGGGGCCTACCGACCGGTTTGACAGACGGGAACACGTCGGTTTCTCAACCAAAACATCCCGCCATTCATCGAACCGACGAAGGTCGATTACGACGTGTGTCTCCGAGTTTGACAACACCGAGTCTATGGAACCCGTTGACAAAATTACTCTTTCATCCGATCTCGAATACTACGTGTTTCTATCTGGAAAATTAATTTCAATCAGGTGATCGATACCTCGAGAACGGTGGTTGAACCATAACCATAATCAAGATAGTCCTAACATCTCGAACCATATCGATAACTGGTCATGTGAAGCGTTGACAGAAATGTTGAGAAAATAAAAGAAGTTGCAAATGTGCACCGACAGTAACTGTTCTCGATTGTTTTTAAGAAAAGATGGCGTCGATGGCCGTTAAGTATCGGTTCCCATGAAATCGATCGATATCGAGCGCGAGAGTCGATCTCGAGTATCGATGGAAGAAAGGAGAAAAAACTGTGGAACGACTCTCGTAAATCAATACCGGATTATTTTTCTTCGGCTCGAAATTCCAAGAGAATCTATCTCGAATTCGTACGCAACCGGACGATTGCAGACTGAACAAGGGAAGAAACAATGCCGCGTGAGATCTTTCAGACGGGTCGTAAATGATTTCTGACGTTTAAAAAGACGTTTTGCAACGGCTGTGCACGAGGCCAGTACTAAAAATAAACAGCAATAGTTCCACGAAACGAGCGTCTTTCGAAAAGATTTTTCGCGATCAGATTGTGTAACCGAATCTTCGATTCTCAACTCCTCGTTATTTTCGCAGCTCGAACGAATTTTTCTGACTGGTAATACGACACGTGACGATCTCGGCGATATAAGAATGTGTATTGTTGAGCGGAGGATAAAAAAAAAACTATCGGACTTACCGCTCGGGGTGCTGGTAGAAGCACGACGGCGACCGTCCACACGAGCATCGTGGTCCACATGTTTGGTGGTTGTTCGATTCGATGTTTACACGCCGCCGGTAGCGTCGTTCGGCGGAGGTGTGTGGACCGTGGTGGTGCGGTGTGCTCGTCGGCGTTACCTCCTCGCCGTGATTTCGCGAGGCTGCATAGCCACCGTACGACCAACGAGGTACGAGTTACGCACCCCGTGTCCTGTCCGTCCTCTCGATCCGAGACACGCCGGCCGTGTTACGGTCGCTGTTAATCCTTCGTTGAAAGATCCGTCGACAACTTTGTCCGTTCTTTCGGTTCACGCAAGGTACGATGAAACAGAGAGAGAGAAAAAAAACAAGAACGAAGCTAACTGTCGCGGTCGAACGAGCCTCGGGTCACTCTCTTGGTCTGTCGCACTGTATAACACTGAAGGGAAAAAAACGAATGCTGGTACATGCATGTATCATGTATATCCGAATAGCGCAAAAGGTATTCACGATTGCCGCGACAAATATACAGATGAAAATCACGCGCGATCACTGAACACTGTGTGACACACTTTATTCCATTATCCGTGGGACGCTGAGAGTCGTAGAACAGCTTCTCGTCCAGGGTACGATCGGATCGGCGACGGGATAATGTTGTGTTGTGCGTAGGATCTATAAAAAATACACACAGGTTTGCGATCCTTCGACGTCTCTCTCTCTATCTCCCTTTCTATTTCTCTCTCTCTCTCGATCCGAATCTCCGCTGTGTACAGTGTATATATACACGCGTAGTACTCGAGGATTTTCGTCCGCTGTTGGGTCTTCTCACTTTACGCCCGCGTTGAGCGTTCGTTCGCGGAGCACGAGCCACTACGTCGACGAGGAGTACGACGATTTGTCACGAGCATAATTTTTCACGGGAAAAAAAATCACCTGTACGACACTCTCCTCCTCGCCAACCGTCGCAACAACGACGAGTCGCGCACTGACTGGCCGTCGACGAACCGTGAAGAATATTCCCTCGGCGACCGGCTAGAGCAGAAGCGGAGAGATATGGTGGTGGTAGCGGCGAAAGAGTAGGAGGAAGAAGAGAAGGGTAGTGGTGGAGAAGCGAAGGTGGAGGTGGAGCGAGGATACCCTTCGCCGTGTGCGACGAGTCAAAGAGACGAACGAGAGAGTCAATGTGCTGCTCGCGTTCGCGAGAGGGGAAGTTTTCGTAGGGCCAAACGGGGGAGGGGAAAGGAGGAGAAGTCACAGAGCAGAGAGAACCGGCACGAAAGGCACTACTCCGCAGCCGAGCCACTACTGGATCCAGAGATGCGCCCCCTTAGCCCGCGTACCGGTGCCCGTCGTGTTTTCCTCGTGAAAGTACTCGTCGAGCGATCGTGTGCGTACGGTGTGTGTACGCCAGAGAACAGTCTTCGTCTCGCTCTGCTGTCCCGTTCGATGCGCTCCTTTATCCTTCTCTTGCGCGTACGAAAAAGCTGCGTGTATATTTCGCCGGAACGTTTCCGCGCCACTAACAGCCAACACTAGCGCCACACCGCGGTAACTCCAGGAACCACTGTAACGTCGACTCTTCGCGAAACACCCGGCTCGATCGACAGATGGCGAGTCCGATCTCGGTTGCTTTCGCGTGCACGACGATAGAACTCTGTGTGTTCGAACGAGCGAGCGCGCGCTTCCCTTTTGCTGTCTCTTTCCGATGCAATGTTGCTTTTCTCTCCGACTAAAACCCGAGGGTCTATCGCAAACACGCGTGCGCTTTAGCCGGTGAAACGACGCGACATGTACCGGCGCGTCTACGCTACGAAGTGCAACCCTCGACTGGAGGTAGTAAGCCGGGAGCACCCCTACTTATAATTGTGGTCCCGCCGGGCC